GGGGGCGCGCTGGACACCACAGGACGCGCGGTGCTTTGCCGGGCGCTGCACCCTATCTTCGGTTGATCCGATTCCAGGGTGGGCGAGCCGTCAAGAAGGAAAGAGAACCCGCCCCAAGGCCCCCGCCGGCATCTCCGGAGCTGCTTACGTTACCGTGCACCTCCACAACCCGGTTCGGGAATATTAACCCGACCCCCTTTCGATGTGCGGCGCGCAGTGCGCCCTTGATACAAGGTTTCCACATCTCTTAGGGCCGACTGACCCATGTCCAAGCGCTGTTCACATGGAACCCTTCTCCACTTCGGTCTTCAAAGTTCTCATTTGAATATTTGCTACTACCACCAAGATCTGCACCGGGACCCGCTTCACCTAGGCTCATGCTCCAGGCTTCGCAGCAGGCCCCGCGCCCTCCCACTCGTCGCGGCGTCAGAATCGCCGCGACGGCCAAGCATAGGTCGCGCGCTTCAGCGCCATYCATTTTCGGGGCTGATTGATTCGGCAGGTGAGTTGTTGCACACTCCTTAGCGGATTTCGACTTCCATGACCACCGTCCTGCTGTCTGTATCAATCAACACCCTYTGTGGTGTCTGGGTTAGCGCGCAGTTTTTGGGTAGCTCGACTTTCGGTTCATCCCGCATCGCCAGTTCTGCKTACCAAAAATGGCCCACTTGGAGCTTTCATTGATCCTCGGGGTTCGCTTAAGCAACCCCGAAATCTTACCTATTAAAGTTTGAGAATAGATCGAGGGTGTTTCACCCTCGAGGCCTCTAATCATTCGCTTTACCCGATAAAACTGTTCAACAGCTCCAGCTATCCTTAGGGAAACTTCGGAGGGTACCAGCTTCTAAACGGTTCGATTAGTCTTTCGCCCCTATACCCAAGTCCGACGAACGATTTGCACGTCAGTATCGCTGCGACCCTCCACCAGACTTTCCTCTGGCCTCTCCCTGCTCAGGCATAGTTCACCATCTTTCGGGTCCCAACAGGCATGCTCACACTCAAACCTCTCACATCAGATCGTGGTTGGCGGACGGTGCACCCGCAGAGGGTTCCCGCCACTCAGGTTTCTTCCGCCTCGTGGGCTAATCACCCACCGGCTCACATGCACGTTGAACTCCTCAGTCCGTGTTTCAAGACGGGCAGGATAGTGGAATTTCGCCAGCATCCCGAACGGGCGAGTCGAAAAAGGCGCGTGCTCAAGGTCCTCAACTGCCGTGACGGCCACCCGTGGGGGGTTTCGATCGCTCCCCACCGCAATGCCGGTCACAGCAGCCCATGCTGGCAGGCACCCCACGTCCAACGAGGGGGGGGACAACACAGTCGCCATCCACCCCTGCCCAGACGGGAGGGCACGACTTCCCCTCCATTCGCTTTTCGCTCGGCAATTTCAAGCACTGTTTAACGCTCTTTTCAAAGTTCTTTTCATCCTTCCCTCGCGGTACTTCTTCGCTA